TTCACACACAACTTTTACTTTCATAAATATTATTTAAGACCGCTCTTCAGAATAATTTTTAACATTTAATTTCCTTTTTTTTATGAAACACTTTGTTGTCAAATAAAGAAAAAAAAACTAGAAATAGGTTTTCAGTTAGAAGCAGTTTGGCAGTTCTGCACAATGTAATTGTTGCACCAAATTTGGGGAACCAGATTCTGGATGACTTGGTGATCAAGACAGAACGGGGGAAAAAACGTGTTCATCTTAGAGTTCAGGGGAAGTCAGCAGCAGCTCCTACTTCCCACGATAAAAAAAAAAAAAAAAAAAAAAAAAACACTTTTCAAGTTAAAAAAAAACTTTAAACTGCTAGTGTCTCTCCGTCACTCTGAAGCCAACAATCAAATCAATAACTTCACAACTTTTTCCAAAGTTTTAAAGTCTCCCCCCTGCTGAGTGTGATTAGCGCGCAACATATTTCAAATCTTTCAGAAGATAATAATAAAAAAAAAAAGATTTACCTTGTGAGAGGACGATTGCTGGAATCAGAAATGCTAGTTTCACAAAGAAACGAGACATTCCTCCTCTTCAACTGGACTAACGTGCTTGGGTTCGCATAGATCCGCAGTTTGATGTTGGCTCGGAGTGAAATATCCTCAGTTTGGGTTGAGAAACAGGTAAATCCAGCAGAGACAGGGTGAACGCGCGTTCAGAGGTGTTCACCTGCTGCCTTCTGAGTTCTGAATGAAAGCGGCAGGCTGGGACTTCAACTACAAGTTCCTCCCACCCCCCTTCCTACTCCTCCTCCTCCTCTTCAAATCAGAGCTCCCCTCATCACCACATGTTTGAGGACAAGCAAGTCCCTCGAGAGATGTTATTATTATTATTAATGAGTTTTATAACATTTTATGACAGATAATTGTCATAAACTGTTATGATTCTGTGACAGCCTGCCCAGATCTTGCCCCAGTTTTTATTATTTTATTTCTTGTTCCAGTTCATCCTCATAGTCTTGTTCCCAGCCTTCAGTTCACATCCAGCTCCAGCTCTTTGCTCTCACCCCTCCCATCACAGAAACTCTAATCAAGCTCATTCCACTCACCTGTCTCCAGCAGTATTTAACCCAGTCTCATTCTCCAGCTCATTGCCAGATTATCATTAGCCTCGCCTATGATCTTCCAGCATTCTTGTCCCTTGTCCTGCTCTTGCCTCATGTCCCCGACCTTGCTCATGTCTCCTGGTTTTATGTCTCCTGCCTCAGTCCCTGTCGGATCCCGCCTGCCATCTGCTCTCACGGTAATGTAAGGTTATGAATTTAACGGTTCCTTGAAGAATTGGAACGAAGTACAACACACAGTTGTATATGGGACACACACGCCCTTGCGCGCCTGGCTGAAGCCACCTCTAATCACGTCTTTAGACCGGTGACGTGGTGACGTTGAACGTCGGGTGACAGGCTCCGCCTTCACCCTATAAGTTTGGAGTCACCAGCGTCATTATTCAGTTCTATCGCCCTTCACATCGCGATAGTCACCTCTAAACCTGAGCTCACATAGCTGCTGCTAGTTAGCTCAGCGTCTAAGGTTCTTAGGCTAGCTTCACTGGTGCTAACCGCGTTACCTGCTGGTTCGTGTGTCTGCCGCTCGACGCTACTTAAGTGACCTTTATTTTCTGCTGRAAATCTGTTTTGTGGTTTACGATGAGCACAAAACCACCTTCGAAGAAGCTGAAGTCTTCTGTTCGCCCCTGTCCTCAGGGGTCCGGCTTTAAGCTTCCTGAGAAGGGCCAGCATGAGGCCTGCCCGGCCTGCCTAGGAATCATTCACACTTGATGGGCACTTGTGGAGCCCGAGTCCTGCCGGGCCTGTGCCGGACTTTCACATCCGACACTGGAGAGGAGAGTGAAATTCCTGGAGAAAATGCTGGGGGAAACTGCTGTTTTCCAACAAGATCCCGCTGCTCTCCGAATCCAGCCAGACGGCTCAGTCCGACGAAGACGAGGATTCAGCGGTCGAAACTCCCGCTGCTAGCTGGACGGACCAGATGGAGCACGAGGCGGCCTCACTCGACATCGAGGGGGGCGAGACCCGGTTTCTACTGGATCTAAACCAAGAGGGTGGACCAGGATTTGTCCTTCTTGTCCCTGTGCCGCCGAGCTGCTGCTAAACTGGAGGTACAGTGGCCCGACCCCCCCACCTGCTCAAAAACCGTTGAGGTTCGCAGGGTTTTATCTCCCCTCTGAACCGGCTGATGTGAAGCACCATCTGCCTATGTTTCCGGACTTTGTGTCGGAGCTGACGTCTTCCTGGAGAAAACCGCTGTCCATCCGCGCCTTTGTGCCTGGACAGGGTCAGTACTTGGACGTGGAAGGGGCAGACCAAGCAGGCCTGGT